GTAGTGTATTCACGCTGACATCACAAATATTATGATTGATATTTTCTAACTGAGATTGGACACTGACTTGGAATGGGTTACGTCTTGTGTGTGGCTTAAATGAGCAGTGTGCTTCAATATGAGGAAGATAGATGCATTCCAACAAACCATTAACTTTCTCCTGAGTTAGATAAAATCTGAATATGGGAAGATTACCATCTCTTTTGGACATCCACCCACCCACTGAACAATAATTATGGCCACATATACTGACCACACTGAAACATGTTACATGTGGCATCTTCTAAGGCAAGAGACTTTTTTTTCAAAATTTGACTGTTCACCAAGCCGCCGCCATCATCATCATCATCAACAACTAAGAACTTAGATAGCATCATCATCAACAACTAAGAACTTATATCGCGCAAGAATCCAGTCAATATAACTGCTCTACAGCACTTTGAGAGGACGCATATCACATGTATCAACAATGTCCACTTGGTCTAGGCATATGCCATAAATGGGTACCTGGTGGGATGAGATGGTAATATGTAGGGCTTCAAAGAGTGAGTGAGTGAGTTTAGTTTTATGTCGCTTTTAGCAATATTCCAGCAATATCATGGCGAGGGACACCAGAAATCAACGATCCCACTATGGGGCGAGTATGATAAATATCAGGAATACTGTGTGACAACTGCGATTATTGGCTAATGAATACAATAACAAGTGAGCAGTTGATGCATTATTCAGTCTATTCAGTGAAACAATGACAAAATACATTATTTACATACTTTACCATGTAGACAGCGTGAATTTAACATGACAATGACCAGTGACCACATGCCTGTCAAAAAAATATATATAAGTGTGATGATTATAATCTTGCGTGGATATATTCCATTCAGCATATCTCACTTTTCATAAATAACCCTCAAATCCAAGTAAAAATCCTTTTTAAAATATTCATGAACATTTGATTCTGGTAATCGTGAATAACAAATTGAGTTCATGAAGGGATACGGCTGGACTCACCAAATAAGAGATTAATTGTAACAACCCCAGTAATATGGAGCTGGATACTCCTGAGTGAGTGAGTGAGTGAGTGAGTGAGTGAGTGAGTGAGTGAGTGAGTGAGTGAGTGAGTGAGTGAGTGAGTGAGTGAGTGAGTGAGTGAGTGAGTGAGTGAGTGAGTTAAGTTTCACGCCACACTCAGCAATATTACAGCTATATGGCGGCAGTCTGTAAATAATCGAGTCTAGACCAGATAATCCAGTGATACACAATATGAGCATCGATCCACGCAATTGGGAAATGGCCAACCAAGTCAGCGAGCCTGACCACCTGATCCCGTTAGATCGCCTCTTATGGTCAATTCTAACCCGGATCTTCACGGGTCACAATATTAATGAACTTTTATATCAAAATTATTACTATGATTAATGGGGCACTGATCTGCCATCTTTTGTATGTGTCAACCCTATAATTGATGTTAATGATAATCGTAAACATTACATGCCATAAATGCCACAACATTGGTATCTCTGGTTTGGCCTGTATCATAATATTTAGCAATGCTGATCATCATCAGCCCATCCTTATAGATCTGTTATACAAAAAAACAACACGAACAAAAATTAATATACAAATGAAGGAAGTTTCAAAAAGTAATTTCCTCTTCCAAACATACAAAACCCAACACACCCAAAAGTTATTAACGACTGATGCTGAGATAAATATAAAAGATAAAAAAATGTCTAAGAAGCCATCTCCGGAGTGTCCAAATGGTGCCTTCATAAAATAGTTCTCTACTTTCAGAGATACGAATCACATTAAAGAAACAATGAATTGTTCAATATTTGAGATAATCATCAAACCATAGGAAATACATAAATGTAAGATAAGTAAAAATATAATGTGTATGGAAAAAAAATCCCATCATCCAAAAGTACTCTTGAGATAAAATAATGATTGAGTGCTCGAACCTTTAGTGGATGTGTGCTCAACTAGTTTTGTAAAACTCTTAAGTAGCAAGTAAAAGGTTTCGTATGTTGGGGCAATGTTGATGTTTCTTGCCAATCCACAAATAAGCTCTAAGGCTCCGTTTCACAAAGCTATCACAGTGCTACAACTGTCGTACCGGCTAAACTGAAACCCAGACTTACGACAGTCGTAGCGCTACGGTAGCTTTGTGAAACAGGGCCCCAGTCGGTCTGCTAATAATAGTCTGAACCAAACAATCCTGTGATGGACATCATGAGCACTGATTCATGCAAGTTACAGGGATACAATGACAAGCCCCAACCAAGTCACTGTTATGTTTTTTGCAGTATTCACTTGATTTTCTTACACCTGCTTCTCAGTTAGCTGATATATGACAAGCATGGGCATTGGGGTGGGTGAGTGAGTTAGTTTTATGCCACCTTTAGCAATATTCCAGCAATATCACGGAGGACACCTCAAATGGGCTTCACACAATGTATCCACATAATATTTTCTGAAATATGTCAACAGAGTTTAGAGTCTTAACTGCCAAAGTGAAGTCATTAAAAATACAAATTCCACATGAAGACAGTTACTTTTATGACATTGAATACCTGAAACGTTTTTAAGGGAATAACTTATGTGAAATTCTTATCCATACGTAAGTTCAACGCTTTCCTGTGTTCCCACTTCAAGAAGCCGACTTGACTTCTGTTGACTAAGTACTCGAAGGAGCAACTTGAATTCTATTTTTTGGTGCCATCCTTCACAATATCAGTCTGACTTGTACTGTCACGACAAGGGAAGGAACATGCTGGGCAGACTCTCCATTCCTTTTATCTCTGACTGAATACAAACCAAGAGAGATGGAGCATATGTTGCAGAGAAACAGTAACGTTAATGACCCAATTTACCTTATAGTAATGACATCATTAAGGATAACAGACTGCAGAAACGACAGACATTGCGTGACCTTTTGTACTCCACTGGTCCATAGACCAATGGAGTCATTAGCTCAAACAAAGAAAATTAATCAACATCATTCAACTTACTGAGAGCATGTTCATTCTGGGAAGAAGAAAAGCAAAAGTTCTGTTATCATGGTAACCACGATTTCTCTAATATGAAGAAAACAGTATAGATTCATCACTCTCATATTTTTGTGTCCATGAAGCAGCTTCATATCTCTTAGAGAGACACACATGCCACTTTAAAAACTGGCACAATTCATTTATCAGTCTGTCAGGTTTCTGTCTTCCAGTGAAATGGCAGAGTCAAATTGTAATACAGTTACAATATGTTATTTTACACAAGTTCCTGCAGTATTCTAGTTAAACCACTGCGGGCTGTAAATAATCTAGTTCAGGCCAGACAAGCCCGTGACTGACCGAAAGAGCAATGCCCAATAGCTGACCAGTAAAACAACAGTCACCCAAGTCACGTGACCACTAAAACCTCACATCTACTGGCTCTGATGACAAAATTCTGGGAACTACTCTAACCAGAATCCTGTTCAACAAAGTGATATTAGTGGGAGCATAATCATCACTACCTACTTTACCTCAGGACTGCGACAGTCATAGCACAAACATGACACAGTCTTAGCACCAATGCATTACAAACAAACAGAATACTCACGAAGATGGAATTGTGTGTGATGGAGTCACCCAATCGTATTAACAGCATCATAACAGTGCTTGATTGATTAAAGAGCAGATACAACATTATTTGCAATATTTCTCAGATGTCTGACAATCCAGGTTCCTATCCAACTTGGAATTGTAAAGCTGTTTTTAATGGCAATGCCAGTCTCTCATTGACAGTAAATAACTGCATCTCCAATACTATTCAATTTACATTTAATAGTGAATGTATTCCCGAATATGGTCAGGGATATACTCACTGAATTTTTATTACTGAAAGTATGGAAAATGATTCAATAATGAGTTTATTCTAAACAGGAAGTGACACTACTTTCGGGCCAATGTTGTTTTAATGCAGGGTAACAATAAGTACCATCACTTCCATCTTTTGGTGGGACACGGCCCACCACAGTCGCAGTCTCTAGTGAAACCAAACTCCATATCGTCTCAACATCTGATTGTTTCATATGATAACAAGCTGCTGCAATGTATTTCCAAATTTACTACCAGAGATACACTGAGTTAGATAAAGAGTGGAAATATTGAACCTAACAATACATTGGGATACTATTCTGTACAAGTCATGAAAGTGAAAAATGAATGAATATTTATATGCACAGCAGTTGGTATTATTATAGTCATGACACAGACCTATAAATGATCAATCCTGGGTCAGACAAACCTGTGATTAATATCAAAGCTGAAAACAGGTTAACTCATAGATTCCAAATGAAAAGTTGACATGCAGTCGATTGATGTCTCAGACTAAGTTGCCATTCAATCTGAATATGTCTACGCATAACGAGATTTCTTTGTGCAAAGGACATTTTGACCTTACAGAATACACACTATAAAAGAAAAGCATCCAAAGGCAAAGATGTCGAGTGTCATGTACTTAAGGCTTGGAAGTACACGAGTGCAACTGATTTCGTTACCACGTGGCAGTCTTGTACATAAGAGTAAGTGCACGACAAACAGCCCTGAAAACTGGGAACATTCAGAAACATTTATGAAACATAAAGTTACCATGGAAACAAATGACATAATCGGTCAATGAAAGACCAACTTAAAACATTTTATGTTACTCAACTTATTGAACATAAGACTTCGTTGAAGTATTCAATTCTTGTTCACTGAAACTCACATTCCAGATTAATGTTCTGAGATCACTTTGAACCATGGAAGAACATCAATGTCCAATGACAGACTTGTCTACACGTCCTGGCAGCCAGACAGACATAAATCAAATGACATCAACCTTGAATATTAAACAAGAATTTTCACTTAATAAAACAAGTTGGTATCAGAGTAAACACTCTCCTAAAAAACCCACTGTCATTGTAAAACAAAATCTGTAGTCTATATGCAGTGTAAACTAGGTTGTGTGGAATATCTTACCGATTGTATCTCTTGAGTTTCTGCAGTGAATACTTGGCCTCTGTCCCACCCTTGGACACGGGCAGACTCTCCAGGTTGGCCATCAGCAGGTTGATGGAGGACTTGAGCTCATCAATGTACATGCTCTCCATCTCCTTCACCAGGAATTTCGGGTGACGACGGGTCTGGACAAAAAACAATCATACAAAATAAGTCAGTTCTCCTACATAGGTAGGGTGTACAATGGGTGAAGCCCATTTCAGGTGTGAACTATCGTGATATTGCTAAAAGCAGCATAAAACCAAACTCACTCACTCACTCACATAGGAACAGCTCTCATGGATGATATTTACCAAAAACAAACTTACTACATAAAATGCTTCGTTTCGCTAGACTCTGGATCCAAACAGGGAATTCAACCAGCAGTGGAAAAAACAAAGAACCATGTCCCACTTACTGGTGGACGATGACGATGTTTGTTTTGCATTCCATCACTCTGATGGCAACATCAAAGGGGTGGGCATCGTGTGATCTCAGTGTTATCTACTCAGTTCATTACACATAATGATCATAAAATATAGTTTATCGTTTGTCTGCCCTTCTGTATTTAACCTATTTTATTAATTATATTTGAAGATGTTGAATAATATTGTTTACATTAATTTTTGCAAAATCATGACTGATTGACCAAATGTTGTTCATACCAAACACTGGCACATAACTCTATTTAAGCTTTAAAACAAACGTTAGTTGATAATCATGGATAAATATATCATAAATGTCATATTTTGACTTACAAAAGTCATCTTAGTGGAAGTATGACAATTACATTCAAACCTAATGTTTTCACAACAGCAGAAATAACAGGGCAGAGGAAAATTTCAAAGATGACTGACCAAAATATGTTGTATGTCAAAATATATCCAGCAAAAGCAGTCAGTTGAACCAAACTGGTACGCTTATGGTTGCTATTATTTCATAAACATACGGTAAACACTGCAACTATAATAACACAAAATTGGAAAATATTATTTCACATTTATAATCAGAACCATTTACAATTTATTCTAGCCAATGTGTCAAACTTTTGTGTTACAATTTTTTTTTTTAACAGAATCAGCTGTATATTTTGAGAAAACCAGCTGTCCAACTGCTATTTGCCAGGATTAGTTTTGTCTGAAATTTCAAATTGCATTGACCAAGTTTGTTATTCAACTGTCCTTTACCTGAATGTGCTGAAGGGATACAACATAGTTTTTGACTGAGCATAATACATGAATTATGCATTGTTCAATAGAGGTCGGATGGGTTGGGGTTGGGGTTTTGAGTGTCTGTAGATTTTTCATGGTGCGTTTTTTCCTCACTTGTTTCTATGGCCACTCTTTACAATATTCCAGCTACACATTCTACACAACTGACACACAATGACATGCATCGAGTCAGCAAGTCTGACCACTTGATCCCGTTAGTCGCCTCTTGTTAGTCCAAAAGCATGGATTGCTGTAGACCATTTCTAACCCCGATCTTCACGGGTCCAATTTTAGTAGTGATGGTAACTGGCAAGTGATCAAATTATCCAGAAATTTGTTTATCAAGACAATATTTGAGAAGATGCATCAGTAAAGTTTGATTGTACAACAGTATGTAGGTGGTCTTGGGAATTTTGAGGTTGACACAACATTAGTCAGTTATTTTACAACAAAAGTTTTGTAAAAACTGGGAAAACCTGTGTACAATGCTCTGTCATAAACATCAGTGTTTTGCTGCAGGTGAAGTGAGAGGGTGAGTGGGGACAAGGGAAGTAACTCTACAAAGCAAAGTGCCTCCTTTGATGCTGGGCCCTCTTTGCCAGCAGGTAAAGCTTTTAATGTTAGTTGTCAGATTTCACTGGAGTCTAACTATCTAAATGGTAACTATAAATATACTCTTCTGACTGAAACTGGTTATCTGTGGAAATTTATATCTAAAACCTAGTCTAAAGCCAGATTGTGTCAACATCAAATGACCGATCAAACAATCAAATGACCTTGACCTTTCTACTTTGATAATCAATAATATTAAATTTTCTTGATCAAAATTGTTCAAGAGATGATCGTGGGACATCACATTTCACATATCTGATTTCCAACGTGTCCACATTATATTGTCACAATAATATTTCCGAAACTGTGTAGGCGAAATATTATTTCTCGTACAAATATTCAATACCTCCAAGGGAACAGAATAAGCCCTAAAACATCTTCAGTCAAAGAAATAACAAAACAATATCAATTTTGAAACATTTTTTGCAATCCATCTTTAGTGTTATCAGCATCAATGATCAGTTTAGGAAATGAAACTTCAAGCGTGCTGTGCCTGTGTGGGTTTTTTTAATAGAAAAACTTGTAATGATGTAGAAAGAGTCCAGGAGACTTGGCTCACCCAATCGTCTACAGTCTACAAGCACAGATTTGACACTGTGCCAACAATCATTTGATAACTGTCGGAAAAAATCATCCACAGAAAACAAACTTTTTGAAGCTTAAACCAGTTTCGCCATCCATCAATATTATTTATATAAATTCTGACTTTGTTGAATTTGCTGAGATTTAAGCACAGTATACCAGGATATTTTGAGAAGGCAGTGTGACTCCATATATCCATAACCATCCTTCACAAGCATCATCGATCAGTCCTAACATCATCAAAATACCACCCTCATAACTTTCCACTGAAATTATTGCAGCAAAACAAAGATTGTTAATGTTCCTGATAAGTCTGACTGACTGACTGAGTTTAGTTTTATGCCACTTTTAGTAATATTCCAGAAATGATCCTGATAAGTCAAAATATTTAATTTGAGCATGAATGGAACACCAATAATGTGATGCCTATGCAGCTGAACCGGCTCACTGGAACATGGAAGAACTGCTGGCCTTAACAACCTCAACTCCAACTTAAACGAAATGGCAAATGCACAGACCAGTCAGGTGAGTGAGTGAATGCTTTTGAAGCTTGTCACCAGTATCTGACAAAAGAAGCTGAAATACGTAGTTGCTATTGATTATCTTAGAGTACAGAGAAATCGTGTAGGTGAATGTTGAATTGGCGAGTGAGTGACTTTTTAAGCCATTTTTAGCAATATTCGAGCAATATCACGGCGGGGGACACCAGAAATGTGAATGTTGAATTGAGCCGCATCAGGGGGCAAGAGTGGTCCAGACAACAGAGGGGTTGCAAACTGCTGCAAACTGCTGCAAACTACTGCAAACTGCTGCATCCCCCGGGGCACCAGGAACCAATGACCATAATTTGGATCTCTGGTTCATCCCATACTGCTGGGTCTGTCAGCACCAAATCCATGCATGTGGATTTCACCAAAGTGGTAAATGTCTGAGACCTGCATCACTTCGGCCTCTCCTGCCACATCAAGCCGACAAACAGTGATATAACGGGGAATACTGCTCAAAGTGGTGTTACACCCAACTCACTCACTCATGTAAGTAACTAACAAGTCTGGACCAGGCAAATCAGAGATTTACGGCTGTACCATCCGACCATACTGCCCATTATGATGCTTAACAACCATGGTGAACGGTGGGGCAGCCTAGTGGTTAAAGCATTCGCTCGTCACACCGAAGCCCCAGTTCGATTCTCCACATGGGTACATTGTGTGAAGCCCATTTCTGGTGTCCCCTGCTGTGACAGTGCTGGAATATTGCTAAAAGTGGCGTAAAACTAAACTCACTCACTCACGACAACCATGAGGCATTGTGACTTTAAATACCTAATGAATAACCAAACAGGGGACCAAATCTAGATTCTCAAATGAGTATTTGAAAACACACATCAGGTGTCCATAGACCTACATAATGTTCCTTGATATTTCAGTGCCCATAAAGACAAACTTGAAGCTTATTTTGTATGAGATATCAAACCCAGATTTGGGAAGAACACAACAAGTGCCTCTGAACATTCACAATACATGAATTCATACATGAAAACTGATCAGTACATGAAAGCTGAGGTACGAAACTTAATGAATCAGAGAGTGATATTTCATTTAATTCTGAAAAATAATTTGGAAAACTCCAATATCAGTGTATGGACATCTTAAAGTTCATTCTCATCATGGTATTCGTCGAGTCTGTTGCTGTTTGGAGATGAAGCTTGAAGCAATGTTGGTATTTCAAAATAGGTGAGGTGAGGTGAAATTGGGTTTAACGTCGTGCTTGAGAATATTTCGCTCATATGACGACGTGCATGTGTGTGTGTATGTGTATGTGCGGCTGCTTGTACTAGCCCAGACTGAAGCTGGTTTTATAGTGCTAGTCCACTGAGATACCATGCTGCAGTGAAGCATGAATATCCCACTCAGACACATTATACTGACTCTGAGCCGACCAGTCCTTGTTGTACCCATTAATGCTGAGTGCCAGGCAGGGATCAACAAGTACCGTATTTTAACGTCTTTTGGTATGACGCGGTCGGGGATCGAACCCGCGACCTTCCGCTCTCCGGGCGGACGCTCTAACCACTACACCACGGAGGCGGTCTGTATTTCAAAATAAAAATGCCTACAACAAATCACAAACTACTTTAGCTCGTCATCTGACCCATGAAGTAGTTTTGGAGTTTCTGAGGAGCCGATAATGAAAAGTGTCTGGCTACTGGCTATACTGAATTTCTGTTTTTCATTTCCTGAACAAACTTGAAGCCCTTATGAACAGGAACACAAGCACCAAACTTATATCAATCCAATTAGCAGCGTTAGAGGAAAAGTTGAAAATACAAAAAGATTTATCTCCACAAATGTCAATATGAAACTAAAATCCAAATAAAATAACTATCGGATATGAAGTGCCAGCAGTGTTTTTATCTGAGTATGAGAGTGTTTGAAAAATTGAGTCTTACTTTCAAAAACAGAAAATTTGTGACACTCAATGTTCTTTTTCTTCATTACCCCAAAATGTTAAATCAATTTAAAGGTACCAAACATGAACTGTACTGAAGTGATCAACAGCATGAGCATTGATCTGCGCAGTTGGAAACCGATGACATGTGTCAACCAAGTCAGCGAGCCTGACCACCCGATCCCGTTAGTTGCCTCTTACGACAAGCATGGGTTACTGAAGATCAATTCTAACATGGACCTTCATGGGTCCATTGTTAACAACTATAACCCGGGTGGAGGTGTAAGACCTTCCTCTTGTTGGACAGTTGAGACAAGACTTTCCAAGTGCAGCCTACATGTTGTTTTGAATAACTATACAGATACACAACAACACTGACAGGTGCATGACAATATACCTTTACATGTCAAATTGTCTGATCAATGACAGCATATGGAAGATAAATTTAGCCATGGAAAATTTTTCATGTTCTAGGATATATGTTCAATTGCAGTTAACATTTGTTAACATGTGTTTATTTAAATATGTAGCCTTGTCCAAAATGAAACAGATGTAAAACACATGACTGGACTGTGAAAGACGTGATGACGTGACTGAGGTATGAGGCTAGGAAAGTGATTGGCTTTACACAACAGAGGCATGGCCTAGATAAACACTGGCTTCTGATCTAATCAAGCCAGCAATTAGTAGTATTTTGTAACTCATCCATAACAAAACAAAAGCTCACTCTCTAATAGCTTCTAATAAAATGATGACGGTTTACTCTGCTCACACTCAGAAATACTTTCACACAGGATCTATGAACACACAGAGGTGTTGATGGACCGTCCCTTTAAGGATCAAATTTCCCACTTCATACTGTCATGTAGTTGTACAACATAACAATTAGAGTGAGTGAGATTTTATGCCACCTTCAACAAAAATATGCCACCTTCAAAAAAAAAAATTAGAGTGAGATTTTATGCCACCTTCAATAACAATTAGAGTGAGTGAGATTTTTTATGCCACCTTCAACAAAATTATGCCACCTTCAAAAAAAAAATTAGAGTGAGATTTTATGCCACCTTCAATAACAATTAGAGTGAGTGAGATTTTATGCCACCTTCAACAGAATTCCAGCAATATCCCTGAGGTGGAATTGGGGAAGGGCAGGAATTAGAAAACCCTACAATTGTGAATTATGAACCTGGGCCTTCGTCATGATGAGCAAACACTTCAACCACTTGGCTACCCAACCTTCCCCATAACAATTCGAACCCTTAATTAGATTGGTATTCATAGCCGACGAGAAGCATGACCTGGCTCAGGAGGAAATCCAGTATGACTGATCATGATGCAAGTTGATGTTCAGAAAGACAAATCAGGGATTTAGATCAAAATTCCTCGACTCATCAAATACAGATTTACCTTGCTACAAATCAAGTAACAGCACCAATGGCATATCAGCTCTAAATCCCCAAACTGCCTCTCCCCACATCATTAAGTTTCTTATTGTTGTGTACATTCATGGAAGTTACTGAGTTACATCCCCATAATTGAAACTGGCTGACTTATAAATTGGAAAAGTGAACGAAAAGATAACTAAGATGTAAATAGTTCACCTCGAATGAATACGCAAATAATTGAGTAAACACAGACAATAAGAAATGCCATGGATAGGTTTCATCTAGTTAGGTTCCTATATATCATCTACAACAGCCAAACTTGAGTACTTTCTAATGATGCCTGAAACGTATCATTCACGCCAAGTGTCAGCTTACTTTCCTTCTAAGGCAAGCTCAGATTTTGGGGCTCTCGCAAAAGGTCTGCATATAGTTATTAATTAGATTTTTTGCAACTTTATACTAAAATATCTGAAATCTGCTATTTTGATTAGAGTAAAAGAGACTTGAGCACCCTTAGAGGAGAAAACATCCACATAAAGTTCAGCTCATGTCATCAAACAAGTCTTGAAACGAAATCGACATGATCATATATGACAGTTGTTGCACACGCACCAAACATACATAACCTACTCATGCTCAAATAATATTTGTAAAGCTTCATTTGTGCTTTACAGTAATATCTTTTTTTTTTTAATTCTTCCTATTTGTGAAGAGCAAAGAACTATTTTAATTAAATAGCTTGAAGAAAGATTCTTTTTATGGTTAGGAACATGCTTGAACAACTTGGCTTTCAGGAACATATCCTCATGTTGAGAGATTATTTAAAAATGGTTTCCTGGAAACTCATATCCAACAAACATGATATAAATATTTTATCTTCAAACAAAGTTTGACAGGAAGTTTTTGGTTTGGTTTGTTTTAAACGCCGCATTCAGCAGTATTCCAGCTATATGGTGGTGGTCTGTAAATAATTGAGTCTGGACTAGACAATCTGGTGATCAACATCATGAACATCGAACTAAGCAATCGGGATAAAATGACTTGTAAAGAAGTAGTTACCCTTGCCATCATCTCCACCATCTGAAGCCGCCGGTCTAACTCTCGCCGCACCTGAGCTGCCTGCTCGTCAGCATTGTCCAGCTGAAACATGCAACATTCACCAGTAAAATAACAGTTTGGAGATGAAAAATACACAGCAATTTACCTCTTACAACTAAATCACAAACCTGCACTTACAGAATAGGTTCAGATATGAATGTTTAACAGTGTTCAAATTAAGGGAGGTCATAGGGGCCTTGGAGTTTGCTCTTGAAGTTGTGAGTGTAGCGTTTGCTTATCATGGTGATGGCCTGGGTTTGATTCCCCCATGGGTACAATTCATGAGGCCCATCAACCACCATGCTTTTACTGGATTATTGCAAAAACAACAACAAAAAGCAACTAGAATCCCTCACTCACTCAATGTAGTGACAGTGTATGTTACTAAACACTTTCATACCACTGACTTGGGTGTTAAGTACTGGTAACATTAGTCAGGACTCGCCTATTGAAATTGAATTACCTGTGTTTTATTGTGTTTTGTTTCAATCAAATCCCTGTGGTTAAGTCACTTGGTGTGTCCCTACACTCTGATACATACCAGTAGAAATATTGATATTACACATATCTCTTCCAGCCTATATCAAATTGCCTGTCAAGGACTCACTGAAATACTGCTGAATAAGGAAATTGCAGTAAAAAAGCGACTAAAATTAAGATAACAGTAAGTTAACGAAACAACAAATGTCTAAATCTGTAATAGAATACAGAGCACCTTCAAGCTTAGGCTAAACATTACAGGGGAAACAAAATAGTCTTCAGGTACACCTGTATTATTATAAAGTCTTCGTATGGTTTATTTATACTTCCATTTAAAACAAGAAAAGAAGGAAAAACCTGAGAGAAGTGAAATATTATGAATCTCGTATTATGGTCATGAGGTAGGTACTAAGGGTTTGTGTGCTTGCTTTGTTGCAATTAAGGTGCAACAAAACATCACTAGATATGATGATTTACAAATTCAGAGGTATTTCTTCACTGTCTACTAGACATAGTGTAGTATACATAGAAAACAAACGTGCATTTGTCTGGTGATTGAAAATAATCATAACTGAAAAGAGTTTCTGTCTGTAACAAATACTGTTTATTTCAAGGGAAATTCATGGTGAGTGGGCATGATTTGCCAATCTGTTCTCAAATGATTTTGCAGAAATATTTGAACACAACATTAAATTACATCTTACATAAAATTAACAAATGGATTGCAAACATAATTTGTTGATACATAAAAAACACCTTTATAGACAGATAGTGAAATATAAGGGTTAACTTGGGTTCTTCAGTATACATATCTTTTTATCTGTATTGCCAAACTTTTCTAAGATTGGACTATAAATCTTTTTAGATTGATAGATTGATTTAGATGAATCCTGAGTGTCCAGTCAATAAGGAGAGAAAATCTGTATACTTTGCACATTGTAATTTGTTGATCAAAATATCTCCCAAGGGCAGACCCTGAGATGAACTGGCCCTTTAAGATGACCAACAGTGAAAATCATAAACCATGATTGCTTTTCTTTTCTGATGTTTTGATTTTGATTAATCTGGCAATTTTATGGGTGCAGCATCATGATGGAAACGTCGGAGGAAATCAGACCCACTGAAGGGTTAAAAGGCCATTAATAAACGTTTTATTCATGCTTGCATGTTTTTTTTAGTCATTCTTTACCACATACACAAAAACATTCACCATAATAAACCCTTGAAGAATTCCAGGAACGGACATCATATAACACTGCAGATAATAGGGTATGTCCGACAGACACCCAACTGCCGGTGGTCAGTTACATGACTACAAGGGACGTTTTGGTTGACCTTACGCACTTTATCAGATATCACAGATCTTTGAGAAAACAAGATGAAAGGGTGACCATTTGGTTGATTGGTCAATGACAGATCTGAGAGTCTCGATTCCCCTGTCTGGCTGCAAGTCCATCCCACCAGCCTGGAGGAGACAAACACGGTTGTCTAGTGGCCATAATTATTGGTAAGGAAGACGTGGTAAGGATATGATATGTATATTGTTGGGCTCCATGACTGCGACCTATGAACAGAGGCCACAATCCTTTACTTAATCTAAGCAACATCCACATAACATGAGATTTACCAGCACGGAATGCTCTATAAATTGACGGTTCCTAGTCTGGCAGCAAGTCAAGGTTTTTCAAGCTTCCTCAGGGATTCAGAATATACACTCTGTGGTTTTATCCTCTGTGTGATTCACTGGACTCTAAGAGTACGACTGCACCCTTGTACTCAAGGACCAATGTTGCTGAGTTTTATAATCTCCATGATCACTGATCTTTTCTCCAGAATTGTACATAAAAAATACACAATATTTGTTCAAAATTCATTGATTGGAAGCTGAGTTGCCTGCTGTTTTGGCTTAAAAGTTCAGGTTTCTTGGAAATCCTATTCTTGAAATGACCCTTGGAACAATAGATTCAGATGATCGTCAGATTTGCATAGAAGATAATGGTCTTCCTTAAAAAACAGATCAAGTTTAACATGAATAGATTCAGATCAACAGACAGTATGTGAAATACAAAACAACATACATGATCTATACTAGAAGACAGAGTTCCATTTAGAGGAAATCTCAGTTGGTTAGGTCATTGAATTTGTGTGCTGGTGATTAGGAGCCTTGGTCTGAGAGTGTTGGTTCAAATCCTGAATGAGCCTCTATCCACAAAAGTACTAGAATCTGTAAGTTACTGTTCCAGTGTAACCCAAAACATAATATGTTACATTTGACCACTTTGCAAAAGGCATTGTTTATTCATGCAAAGTTTGCCACAAACAAAAACCCTGTTCCTGAAATGACCATTGGTGTTCCATACCCTCATGAAAGTCAGGATCACAGAGTAGAGTGAGTGAGTGAGTTTGAGTTTACGCCGCTTTTAGCAATATTCCAGCAATATTCCAGCAATATCACAGCGAGGGACACCAGAAATGGGCTTAACACATTGTACCCATGTGGGGAATCAAACCCGGGCCTTCGGCGGGACGAGCAAACGCTTTACCCACTAGGCTACCCCACCGTCTCTCATAGAGTAGAAAAGAAGCATTCATTACACAAGGCTTCACTTAATTACATTCACATCAACAGGTACTAAGGCTGTTACGATTCACTCGCATATTCGGTGAATCGAACCGTAGCCCTTCAAGAATTCAATTCATTATTTGTGATCACCAGAACAAATATTAGCGAATAATTATGATTTGTTAAGGGAGCGTGTTTTACTTGAACCCATATGTCCTTTTGTCAAAAACAGATATGCAAGAATGGAATAATGTACTAGCCTTGCAATAGTGCAAGTCATGTTAGTTTGCAAAGGCCACACATGGTACTGTCGACTATAGTATAACTATTACATACCAAATTTGAGTGTCATAAGATCACTGGTTATTGTTGTGACAAATTAACACTGTCAACATGGGCGTTCATATTGTACATCAATCACTTTACTACAATATTGTAAATATATACTTACCCAATATTTGTTACATATCATATTTGCCACATAGTGTATTCGTTGCAGCCCTAACAGATACAGAATAACATATAAAATATGAGCCTCGGGTAAAAGTAAAAGCAACAGGTGCTTGGTTTGTCTGTCATGACTCCTCGTCGTGTTCACTGAATAACATCATGACATTTACCCCATAATTCCTTGTCTGAAATGATGGTAAGAATAACCACTTCCTTGTTAAATGAAATGTCAATACTTCAAAGATACTCCTTGTCACATCTGTGTCTTCAACACAGATGCAGACATTTTAGTGGGCCTCACCTCAAAGTGAGCTCATCACAGAATTAGGGTTAGACCAGCTCAACATTTGTGGAATGGTTGAATTGAGTTGCATTTGATTCATCTAATGTTTCCAGTATCTATTAAAATCCTTTGAGTCTGCATGCCTGACCTTGGGTCTTTGCTTCATTTGTATAATGACTAATGTGAAGTTACTTCCTGTATTACTGTGCTCTTACCTGATCTGACTGGACTAAACAGATTTTTACTTGACTCTGACTTCAGACTAGTGGTTAAGACAGAAACTGCACTTACAACACACAACCTGGCGGAATTTACATGAGGGAGTAAGGAAATCACTTTTACCACTTCATATGAAAGTTGTACCATATGGATCCAGGCCTTAAGTGCTGTGAATATCTTGTTGGATGTTTGGATATGTTTAACCAAGGGTATAGAGTGTTTCACACTACACTGAAAAATCAGTAATAACCAAGATTTGATAGAACCATATACATGATTGGCTGGACATTCATTGACACTGATTTAGAAAGGGATCAACATATTAAGAAGTAGAAACTCACATTGTCCAAAAAATAGATATTTATTTTGGGGCTCATAAAACGAACGAACGAACGAACGAATGAACCTTGTCCAGGAAATATATTTTTTGATAAATACAATAAATGCCATTTAGTGTACATATTCCAATCTTTCAGCAGATTTGATTCTGGTTGTAACTTTGTTTTCACAAATATATTATTCTGTGTAACTATCACAGGTTGATCACACCTTCAACACCTGATAACATCAACCACACCTGTCAATGACGAATTTACCATAAAAATAGAACACCTACACTTTAATATTTCATCCTTCCCAAAGTTCAACATGATACAAACGTGATAGAACCACGCATCTCAATTAGGCTGATATTGTTGTGCTACGAAAGGGGGCTATTGTGACATTTTGTCTGAAGCAAGCGTCTTGAAAGGTAGATTTTCATAAAGCTCACCAAATCTAACTGAGGAAGCTGGCAACAGTCCATACACGCAGACTAAAGAATCTGAATAGAAAGACTAATTACATGCTAGTTGAAGTGAATGTTTTGACACTGAATACCATGTGTTGTTTGACATGCATGTAATTCATTAAGACCACATGAAATCATCCATTGTAGATCCTTGCATAAAGATCTACATATCACTATCATCCAACAAAAAGACCAAAAAATGCCCTGCAATTTCAAATCCAGCAAATCATCTTGAAAACTAAAGAGTCAGGTGTGTT